CTTTTATTTAAAAATGGGAACTTAAATGATTGTAGATGGAGACATAGATTCACATAGGTTTTTTTCTTCTTAATGATAATTATCTAGCACAGTTTGTAGGAAATCCCAGTTTCCTTACTATCTGGGATTCTATTTGGTCAGTTACTTGACAAATTCATTCAGTCTATTTCTAGACTTTCTATCATTTCTAAGTTTGACTCACCAGAGTTCTCAGAAAGGATCTTTCCATAGTTAAGAAGTACAATACCACCATTGTTAAGTGATAATAAATATTAAATCATGAGCAGAATAAAAGTGTTAATTGGTTTAAATTGCTCTGAAGAAAAACTGTGGTATTGAGGATTTCATGACTGTCTGTAGTTGAATGCTAAATTTTAAATCCTAAAGAGAAATACAGGAGTGTAAGGAAATCTGCTTTGGTTCTATTTCACTGCTGACAACTTTGTGGGAGATAAGTCACAATTTTTCCTAGAAACTTACAGATAATTACTTTAATTATATTCTGGAGGGTGAAATTAAGACAAAGTCTCATGTGTCCTAGGCTGGCTGTGAACTCTCTGTGTAGCTAAGAATGACCATGAACTTTTTCCTGATTCTCTAGTTTCTTCCCTCCGAATGCTAAGGTTACAGACTTAGGTTGCCATAGCGATTTATGTGGTGGTGGGAACTGAACCCAGGGCTTCATCAATTTTTATTTTTATTATTTTTTTCATTTAACATATTTTATCATATGTTATTGATATTTAACATATGATAAAATATTACCATATATTTTATATATTATTATATGATATATATCATATATGATATATCATATTATCATATAAACATAATATATTTAATCCTCAAACTCCTCCCAGGTACCTCATACCTCCCTACCTACTCAACTGCATGTTTTCCCTTTCTTCCTCTCAAAGAAAAATCTAAAAGTTTGTCTATATTTGTCTTTTTTATTAAAGTTTACAAAATAATGAGTTGAATTATGACAATTTCATATGCACATATCATTATATCTTACTCATAGGCACACCCCTACCACTCAGTCTTTTTTCCATCTCCCACACTCACCAATCTCCTCCTCTTTTACTTGTCATTTGGGAGAAAAATTGATATTTTTAAATCTCTACTTCATAAAGAGATTTTTTTTTACTTAAAGATAAAGGAAAGGATAACACTGGCTACAGTTTGGTGATGGAGGGTTTTCTCAAGGAAATCTGTCTCTACTGCTCTATATGTTAAGGTTATTTATCTCCTTGAGGCCAACTACATAAAGCAGGAAGAAAAGTGCATCATTTGGAATGTAAGTTCTTATGAACAGACACAGTCTCACACAGTCTTGATACTCTGTGTTTATTAGACCATAACAGAAATGAGACCAAAGGTTGCAAGTTTGAGTCATTATGGAAGCAGGGATAAAGATAGAGGAGAAGTTCTCAGAGATTTCCTCAAGAAACAGAATCTAAAATGTACCCCATTCAGAGAAAAGTCTGAAACTTTCAGATTCTGATCATGTTGCAATACTCTTGACAGTCTAGCATATGCTAGATGTCTCAAATGGTACTGTGCCCAAAATAAACCCTCAGCATCATAAGGGTTTTCTATGAGACTCACAAGACAAAGCTGTTCTACTCAATATGGTTGACTACCATGCAACACACATTAAAGCCAGTGAATGAAGAGATGAGGTGATGGGGCACAGACTTCTAGAATGGGATACAATTCTCTCTGCAATGACGGGGAGCACATGTGAAGTGTTGACAAACAAAGACTTTGAGCCTTAGCATTCAAGCTTGAGCCTTAAAATTCAAGTCTTCCCTGAAGGGCCCCCATGTAGACAGACCCTGAGATTTAACTCCTTCAGCATCAAAATCGCCTACCTCCCAAGTCACATCATTGTCCAGAAACAGAATATCCCAAGAACCATCTGAAGACATTCTTTACTATGCAATGAAGGAGGAAGGTTTGGTAACCTAGATGTGCCAAACAAGCCTTGCCCTGATCATTAGTATCTTCATGAGCCAATAAATACATTTGACCTTTAAAACTAGTGAACAAATTTTGTTGGCCCCATTTTACAGATGAAAAGTCAGAGTCAACAGTTTAAAACTGTGTTCAGGTCAGGCCTCTGTGGTTCATATCATAGTACATCCACATTGTGGTACTTAAGTATATTATATAGAACTTCTTAACCAATGGTTTTCTCCCCTCTGCTATTTGGATAGTCTCAGAAATAATGTTTGTTTTCTCTCCTTTTTAATTCTTAATCACACAGCAGTGCCTAATTTACAAATAGGTGATAAATGTATATGACAATCCATGACCTGAAAGTCCAAATTTATGCTGTCATCCCCAGAGTCCCAGACTGATATAATTTCCTTCCTAATAATGATCAGATAAAACAAAACAAACCTGCAAGCAAGTGTATCTACCCTACTAACCTAGAATTTTATAAGGTTCCAAACTATTCTTCAGTGCTGAAGGAGACCTTCAACAACTTAATTTAGGTAAAGAGGGGCTGGAGAAAGCTCAGCAATTAGTGTCTGCTTTCTCCAGAGCACCCAAATTCAGTTCCCAGAACCCATGTCAGGCATCTCTTTACCACCTGTAACTCCAGCTCCAAAGGAGCTTATGCCTTACTATGGACTCTGAGGATGTAGCCTGTATGCAAACATGTGATAACACTTGTACAGAGACACACTCATATACATCATTAAGTTTTTTAATTTAATTAAAAAGTATTATTCTGTACAAATATCTTAATTGTGAAGAGAGATAATACCCTCATCTTTAATTATGAACAAAACCTTTAGTATGGAATTAGGCCAAATACACAGCATCCATGTTTTCACCTTTTCACAAAGTAAATGCACCACTAAATGTCTTTATTGTCAAGTTGGTGGGCATAGAGTTGAGATGCTCAAATGCAATGACCACCTCTGAGCTCTTCCCACTTTATGGAAAGAGTAAGTTGAGTCTCACACTGTTCATATGAATATGTAGAACTTTGTTAAGATACATATTTTAAGTCAGAACAATGAATAATTCTCCACTGGTACAGGTATTGCTGTCTTGAGGCCATAATTTGAAAAGAAAGTCAAAAAGCAATATAAGTTATTGTATCCTCCTTAGTCTGTTCTATAGTATTGACTTGCTATCATAACACTGTTTAAACCGATAAGAAAAACTCTACATTTCTTTTCCATACCTTCCTTCAGACAGAACATGCTAAGGCAAGGACTCCTAAACTTCTCAAATCAACCTGACTGACAAAAACAATAAGCTTGAATCCATCATATAAAGAATCTGTACTTTGCCTGTGGTTGATATAATCACAGTGCAGAAGCTCTTTGTATTTAATGTTTCTTTACTTTTTATAATACATTCAAATGCTTGTTCCTTTCTCAAAGTAAGTGAATGGTAGTTATTTCCAAAATTAGGGAAACCCTCCTGTAATCATTCAGAGTCCCACACTGCACAGAATTAAGTCTTGGGAAGTGGACAGGCATCAGCACTTCACAACTCAATGACTGAGTGTGAAATAACAATTTGTGCCTTCATTATCTCATTTCTTGAGGCTAATAAGCAGTGTTCTGCACTTGACAGTGAACAAAATCTCCACCTCAAACAAGATGTGCTCAGGACTTATCAATGTTTTTTCTGTGGCTTTTGCATTTCCAAATACCCCTGCATCAACAAAGATAGCCCATTTGTTTCACTTTGTGAAAACTCTTGATTTTTCCCCAGGACTTTCCATTTCATGCCGTGTGAATTTTATTAAGATTGCTTTCACAGAAGCTAAGTACTGGTTGGATGGGCCCGGAGGGATGGCAGTCACAGCCTGGGCAATGTCGGAAGTCTCTTGAGACATTTCTTTGCTACTAAAATCCCCTTGGAGAGTCATAGGGAAGAATCCAAATTGTCCAATAGTTTTTGTCTCATGAATATTTTGACATTGTAACCTGGAAATCTTTCAATGATAGTAACTTAAAACTGGCAGCATAGAAACGTAGCTAGGTCTTCATATTAGATTCTATTATCACATGGATATAGATACTCTTCAGTTATAGGCTAACGCTGGGCTAAAGTACTAATTAAAATAAGATTTTATTTTATAATTAGTCTTTATTAATAAAACTATCTGTAAATCTATTGTCTAATAATTTTCAATGAAGACTATCTTATCAAGTGATTATCATTAAATAACTGAAAATGAACTTAAATTTTGATATTTCTACTAGAATACCTAGTAAGAATTTCATTGTTATTATATGTTGTTACCATAGCACTAACTATATTCTTCTTCCTAATTCATAACATAAAAGCATAACTGTTTGTTTCATGCAAAAATAGATCAACTCAACCTTTCCCTATGGTAGATATTTTCTCGATGACCTCTAAACTTTAATTATTATTAGTTCCAAACTTTATGATCAACGTAGCTAACAACTTTTAACACTCCGAGTATATTAAGCAACACTGTAAACTGTTTGCCAACTCTTTTACATTTAAGGTTGTTTGACTTGGTTCTATTATTCCAATTTTGGAAATATTGCAGAGATAGGTAGGTGAGCATCTTGCCTAAATTTACACCCCTGCTACTGTCAGAATCTATGTTAAAGTCAAATATTCTTAAATTCAAATAGGGTATGTGTGATAGACATTAAAACTCCTTTTCTTTGCCCAAAAGGTAAAGCATATGGTAGCTATCTTTGTGCGTACGGAAACCCCGCTGTCAATATTCAGACTTCCACACTGAGCATGTCTAAATCCTTTTCACTTGTTCCTGCACAGTTTGAAAAGCTTTTAAAAACTTGAGTACACATGAATATTCACCTTTAGTTCCCCCTAATGTGCCATTTGGAGATGCATGTATTGAATGATTTGTCCAAGAATGAATTAGCATGGAGGAGGAAACCTGAGAGTAAGAGCATTTTTTATATAGAAACTGTTGACATACTTGAATCCACAGAGACCCATCTCTTTATCTCTTTTTTTCACAGGATGTGTGACACAGGAGAAGGACTATTCACTTTTCAAACAAGGGAAGGAGAAATGATCTATCAGAAGGTCCACTCTGCAACACTGGCCATAGCTGAGCAACATGAAAGATTAATGCTAGAAATGGAGCAGAAGGCCCGGGTAAGGCTCCATCCCTGTAACCTAATGCTTGTAAATGAATCTCCCTGGGCTGATGCATACTATATTTCTATGAGTCTATTTGTGCAGTGAATGGTGTCTACCCATGCTCTGCCCATTACCAAACCTCTAATGTCTGCCAATATCCTACTCACTATATCAGAAGTTATTTTTGTCCAGGACTTAGAAGACCTGCTCTCCATATATCTGTGCATGACCTGTTGTATTGGTTACCCAAAGCTGTGTGCATTGCTAGAGAATGAGGCAAGAGTTGAAATTTGTTACTTACACTTGTTTTAAGTGTCCATATTATCATAGAAGAATTTTATTATATTTTCATGAATAAAACATTGAGAATTATTTCAATAGACTACAATTATTGGTCATGAAAATGAAACACAGGATCATGTTTGGGCTCCAAATTCACTGCCCAACATCACTGCTCACAGATTGTACTCCTGGGCAGGGTACTAAATCTGTAAAAGTCTCTCTCTCCTGTGCAACAGAGCTATAGTAGTTCCATTTAGTTGCCTGATACATACACATGCTCATGAAACACTTCAGCTTATGATGGTGACAGCATACATGTTGGTTTTGAATACTTGAAACATTGCAATATCTGTGAAAAAAGCAAGTTATTCAGCCTACATGTTGTGACAGCTTATCATTCACACTCTTTCAAGGATGCCTAACAATCTTGAGCCAATTTTCTTTTAAATAAAAAATCATTAAATCAGTTGGGGCTGCTGTATGCTTATCACAGTCTGATAAACCTGGGGAAAGAGTCAGACAGTTATCACTAAAGACTTAGAGATGATGGATACCTGTACAAAAATCTCAGACATTCTAAAGTTGTGGTGTGTTCCCTCTCTATGAGTCTCAGATGCTCAAACTGTGGACTCAGTGAGGCTCAACAATGGAATTCATCAAATCAAATGTAAAGAGAGCATTTGAATGAGATTCCATATCAATTTTACAGGTATGCTTTTCTGTGAAGCTTAATGCTAGTAAAATTAAATTACTTCCTATCTAGTCCATTCTTCAGAATAAGCTAATCTAACACTTTTCTGAGAGCAGTCTACCTCAGCTTGGTAACTTCTCAAGAACACTAAGTTCCAAAACTGGGAGGGTTCCCAGTCTCCAAGATATTATTTTCCCCTTTAATATACCTCCTCTAAAAATATAAAACTTTCCAACAAGCATGAAAGACCATTTCAGCACTCTGTCTGGTCCCTGTTTTCAATTTAAAATAAGATAAAGTTCTGTGTGAAAACTAGGCAAAGTACAAAATAGGTGTTAAAATAGTATCTAAAATCCTCTAAGATACAAAAAGTTGGCACTGTATTTACTATATGTACATATCTACTATAAGAAAGAATGGTGACAGTGAATTTCTAATTTGTTTTGTTTTCAAACCAGGCCATGTGATATTACTATTTAAATTATTATGTACTTTCATATACTTTCAAAGACTTTTGAAAGATTAACTAACCAAAAATTCTATAATCAATGGATGCCCTAAACATAAAGTTTACAGGCAATTGAAAGCATTTACTCTTACCTTTTTAATGATACATGATTTATGAATTTATAGACTTGCACAAAATACAATAAAAATAGTGTCTCAGCTGCCATTTCTTCCTGAAAAGAAGAAATTCAACAGGATCTTCTAATAACATTTGGTTGTTAAAGCTGGTTTTACCATTATTAAGAGTTCTTCACTAGAGCCTCCTCAGCTGGTGTATTTTGATATGTCTCCATTCATCTAAAGCAAGCCATTTTTTTTATTGTCACTTAAAAGGGCTGATGAGATAGTTCAGCAGGTAAGGGTGCTTGTGGTGAAGTCTGACAACCTGAGTTCAATTCTTGGAACTCACATAGTGAAAGGAAAGAATCAGTTCCTAAAATCTGTCCTCTGACATCCATCCACGTCATGACAGGTGCACATGCATGCACACTCATGCACACACATAAGAAATCCTCAAAGAATTAATGCAAATATTTTAAACACAGCAAGAAAAGAAGAATTTTGCTTAGGGTACATTGGAGAATTAAGCCAGTATACTACATTTTAAACTGGAGCTATTTCTGATACATTACTAATATTTATCTCATTGATACAATTATTTAATTTAGATATTTAAATAGAATGGCATATCTAGAATCCATTTCTATCTCGTAGATAACAATCTTCTTTCTAGAACTATAGAAAGTCATCAAATTTCATTTCCAAAAGATGCTCTGCTATCAAGGCACCATATTGCCCAGGGGAATGTTGACCTCCCTTGTAAATGAAACCATCCATCAGAGGCTCAGAGACACATGCTCCATGTTACACCCTGCTGAATTTGAATACAGTTCTACCCATGATAGACAGGAAAGTCACAGATGTCCCTAAACACACAGACATTTATTTTGGAAGATCTCAAAGGGAGTGAGAGGAGGAAGGATATAGGAACCTATTTTTTAATTCTTTTTGTGTTGTTTAACTGGCATTATAGACATGGTAAAATGCCTATGGTTTAAACAATAACCGAGGAAAACATGAATGAAAGAAAAATGTTTTCCTGATACATTATCAAATAGAAGTAAATAAAAGAAAGGTATTTTGAGTAGTAATTTCTAAACTTGTGATATCACAGGTAACTTAAAAGCCTATTTGAGATCTCCTCATACAGAAATTTATGCTTTATACTTTTGTAAAAGAAATCAATATTTATCTGGGCACATGCCTTTAATCCCAGCACTTAGGAAGCAAAGGCAGCTATTATGAGTTCAAGACAAGCCTAGTCTACAAAGTGAGTTCTAGGACACCCAGGATGTTATACAGAGAAACCCTGTCTATAAAAAGAAAATAGAAATATCAATATTTAAAATGATTTTTTTCTGAAATCCTTATTTTCATTGTCACAGGGAAGACAGGATAGAAAGAGAAGGGAGTGAGCTCTGCAATAAAGTAATTTAAATAGCCATAGAAACTGAATGAACTCACCCTTCTCCAATTAAACTTTTCTGAAGCACTTACTAGTCATTCATCACCACTCATCTATGAAATGATCTTCTATCTAAATAGTTACATGATGTGCTCTATCAGCAAGTAGATAGCATGCCAGTCTCATAGGCAGTTGCGTGATCTGGAAAGCACTACCATATTGCATCAATTCCAAGATGACAGATTTGGTTTTGTTTCTTTTTCCTTCTTCATTTTAGCAGCTCTCACTCAAATGTAAGCCATAGTTTGAGTGGCAGAACCAATCATTTGTAGTGCTTAGTATAATAAAGGTTTGACTTAAAATGGATGAAATTTTAGAGCATATGAAATATAGTGATAGTTTTTATAGGTGGCAAGCATATACTCATTTATAACTTTTGAAGGAACTACAAGGACTCCCATATGGGTTCTATTCTTAGCAGTTTGGCTTCCACTGCAGGATTACATTAAAACATTCTTCTTGGACACATTCTGAGGGAGTTCTATCAGAATGAGAAAGATAAAGTTTTCCACAGCAAAAGTATGAAGAACTTGGAAGCATCTTACTATGGTGATGCACAGAACATCTTTAACATACTTGTCTGGGTATAGTCGCAGAAGCTTTGAAAATTCTAGGAATCATATGCATATGCATGGGGCAAATGATTTCTTTTAAAACTAATGCAAAAGCTGGAGAGAGGCTCAGCAGTTAAGGAGCACTCACTGCTCTTGCGGAGGACCAGGGTTCAGTCTGCAGCACCCACTATTGCTTGTAACTCTAACTCCAAGGAATCTGGTACTTTCTTCTGGTTTCCATGGGTACTCACACATACACACACATATATGCACAAACACACATGTGTGTATACACACACACAAGTAAAAATGAAATGAATCTCTTTAAAAGAGTAAATGCAAACAAATTTACTTTTCAAAGTTCAAGACTCAACTACTCAACATTAATAATATTCATAAGACAAGAGCATCAGTTATTAATGACAATAATAAAGTATCTATTTTGAAATGTCAAAAACATATCCATGAAATTTTTCTCCTTTTGATATGCATTGATTGTAATTAACCAACACGACTCAATTAAAATATACCACTATGGTCAATAATGAATGTAAACTTATGACCCTAAATAATCACTTTACTTATTAGTGTTTCATTTCACTAAAAACACTAAAAAAAAAATAGTTAGTTTTTTATAAACATACATGATAGAATATATGCACATGAAAATCACACATTTTCTCAGAAATGAACAATAAAGTGGACATGGCAGAAACCTATATGTAACTTATCTGGTCACTGAGGCTATAATACAGTATTGACACAAAAAGATACTTCACTCTCCTTTAACATAGAACGAGTTGTAAATAGTTCAGATGCCACTTTAGAGACAATGTGTGCATGAAGTTTAGAGAGGGGAGGAGGAGGATAGATATTTCTTACTTCTAATCAATCAAAGCTGTTACTATATAAGAAAAGGGGCTGCCTAATACAAAAGATCATTACTTTCATGTTGAAGGTGTGTCTATTCCTTTTATTTTATCGCTGGAGCTAAATAACAATGAGAAACCCTTATCAGATACTTTTCTTAAACGAAACAATAGATTCCAAAGGTTAAAACAACTCAGCATACAAATATAACATTGCAAGTTCAAGGCTACCTTATTTCAAAGCAAACAATCAAAGGCAAATAAATCTTAAGAAAAGTCAAGATAGCATTTGATGGGTGAGAACGGGTGAGCTGGCATACACCTAGAATCCTGGCACTTGGGAGCCTAAAACAGGACAATCACAGATTCAAAGGCATTGTAGCAAGTTCCTATTTGACAAAGTAAATTCCGTGGGAGGATAACCAGTCTTCTTTTGGTGAAGGTAATCGCATCTCTGTGTCCTGTGGTGTTAGGTGAAAGCACCTGTGGTATGTGGAAGTGGCATTCACTAGTGAGACTAAAGGAGCCACGTGGTATGAAGCAGCTTCTTTATCTACCTCTTCCTATAAGAGGTTGTGGCAATAACT